GTCCTAACCTCTTCCTTAAGCTTCATGCTCCTTTTTTTTTTTTGTAGCTCTCTACTGAACATTTCTACCTGAATATCCAAACTTAACATATCCAAAATTGAATTCCTGATTTCTTGTCACCATACTTGTTCCATTCCTTTCTTCCTTTTCATCTCTTTCCTGGCTGCTCTTTGCCCTGGCATAAATGGCTTGACCTCACCAGCCTATGACACTTCTTTGACCTTGTCTTTGCCAGTATCCCCCTTATTTGCTGTGTTCTAACACACTGATTTCCTTGTTTGTTAGACACACAAGCATCTCACTTGCATTATTTGTTTGTTTGTTTTGTTTGCAGTAGGGTGCATGTACCCACCAGAGAGAGACAGAAAGAAGAAAAGTGAGAAATCATCTCTTGAGGGGATGACCACTGGAATCCCTTCACCATTTTCATCTCAGAACTTTGGGTATATGCACATGCGTTCCTGGTGTGATTTTTAAGCTGCAGGGCTCAGGACTCGAACTGTGGTTGACCATGTGGGAAATCAAGCCCCCAACCACCATGCCACCCACCAGCCTCAGGCATTTATAATTATTACTCTGTTTCCTTTGTCTGGAAAACTTTACCCAGGTAGTCACATGACTTTCTCTCTTGCTTCACTCAGGTCTGTGTTCATAAATCACTTTGCCAAAAAGGCCTTCTTTAGTCACTATAAAAGACCTAGAAAATTATCCAATTTAATTTGACGTTATGGAAATTTATATTGAGAGGAACTTGAATGTATTTCAGAATGTGGCAAATTCTCAGATGTTTAGGGAAAACCTTTAATGACAAGGTAATAACTCTAGAAAAATATTCACAGCTGAGGAAATGTAATTATAGTATATATCTTATCTCAGCAGCGAATGATGTTTACATCATTCCTAATAATGAAAACAGTCCCAGACCCCACAGCTTGAAACTCACACTGGGTGCATATGCATATGTCCCTAAAATTCCAAGAAGAGAATGGAGGAAAGGGATTGCGGCATGGTCATCCCCCCGGGAGATGATTTCTCTTTTTCTGTTTCTCTGTCTCTGTCTCCAGCAAGCACATGTGCCCTATAGCAAAAATCTCTCTTAAAGAAAATTGAGATGTAGATATGTTGGTGAGATATGGGCGAGGAAGAAGTCTTGTAAATAAGCTATAATCACTTTAAATCAATGTAAAATAATGCTTAAACTTGTCATTGAAAGGACGACAGCCCTCCAGATTCAACTACCATTGTATAGCAATATAGAGAACAGAATAGCTTATTAAGTAATACCTCAGGATGCAAACTCCAACATCTAGACTTGGAAATTAGTGTCAAGCAGCCTAGGTACTTTTTTTTTTTCTCTTTTTTTTTTTTTTATTATTATTTTTTTTTTTCTCATCCCAACACACATATGAATTTTCCATCCAAAATACACTGTGCATTGGCTCAATCAAGCACATCAACATATATGTTCTCAGCAAATGATTTCCCAATTTTTGTGTCCTGCATACCTTGCCTTTTGTTTTGCCATCCTAGGTTCCCCATCCCCACCCTCTGCCATGTCCCATCTTCCTCCTCCATTGTCCCTGACATTCATGATTGCCCTCAATGCCTTCCGCCCCCCCATTCAATTGTTCTACCAATGAACTCAATTTGTCTAAATATATCCACTAGCTAGCACAGCTGACATATCCTTACACATGTATCCAAATCTGATCCTAGGCATAAACCCCAGGGAGTAGAATGCACATACTATAAAGTAGTCCCCAGTTGTGTCCATACACCTCTCTTCAGTCATCAAATGTGCATTTTTTTTCCTCCGCTTATTATTATTATTTTTTTTATATTAAATTATATTGCCTAACACTCATTCCCTGAGTATCATCACAACACACCAAGTGTAGTTTCCCATCTAGGATAAACTGCATAGTGTCTCAATCAAGCATGTCGTCACCAATACTGTTCCATTTCTACTTTCATACATATAAATATGTTTTTTATCCTATGTTTGACCCTCAGCCCTTTCCCCCTCTCCCAATTACTCTATCTCTTCTATGGACAGCTATCCTCCAGAGGGGTCATTGAAAATGCGATACCTGCGAGTAGAGGGAGAGGGGCCAGGAGTCCAAAGTTTTTAACAATAGGGAAAATAGATTCCATTCAAGGTTGGATCAAGTGTGGGTCTCGTGCAGTTCCGCAACTGTAGGTGAGTCTCCATGGAATACAGTCTCCGGAAGGCAGTTCTGGCAAGCAGAGTTGACCATCAGTTGATGCGGCACAGCAGCCATCTTGTGGTTAGCAGGAGTGGTGTTGTGGAGGTCTGCAGCGTGACTTATCCTCTGGTGTCTGGCTTCCCTAAGAATGGCAGGGTAGTCCCTGTTCTTGCCTGAGGTAATGCAGGGCTGGTATCCATCATCTTCTCACTGTAAGCAAAGGGGGAAGGGCCGCAAGTTTAGTTTTCACCAATAGGGATCGTAGATTCCATTTCATGGTAGATCAAGGGTGGGTCTCGTGCGGATCCGCCACTGTTGGGATGGT